TTTTCACTGAGTGTAGACCTAACTTCCGTTTGCTTAATTACAAAAAACATGGACCCACATACAAATTTATTTAACATGAAGTGTAAGACTGATATTTGTAGATCAAGTAATTTGGTGTGAGCTTTCAAAATCCAATGGCATGGCCAACTCAAATAATGCCATACTTTGTTTAAGAGTAAGGTAAATTTGTAAGTATTCCCAATAAAGGAACAGAATCAATTTTGTTCCTCAAATAAGAACAAAGAACATCCTATCCCAATACACAATTCACACATCTACCCCAACCATGTACACATCAAATAGGATTAGTCATTCTCAATAGGCCACAGGCCTGCAGAACAATCACTGCGTGTTGACATTGAAAACTTCAATTTATTGGGATGTCATATATGCAGGTCACGTAAGTGTTTTCTCCTTGACACATTCTTTTTTATCTTATAAGTAAGTATAGATTTATGCTGCTTTTATCAATATTCCAGGAATATTCCAGCTATTATATTCCAGGAATTAATTCCAGCTATATCCCAGCAATATTCCAGTTATTATATTCCAGCAATTAATTCCAGCTATATCCCAGCTATTATATTCCAGGTATTATATCCCAGCAATATACCAGCAATATTCCAGTTATAATATTTAAGGAATATTCCAGCTATTATATTCCAGCAATTAATTCCAGCTATTATATCCCAGCTATTATATTCAAGGTATTATATCCCAGCAATATGCCAGCTATTATATTCAAGCAATATTCCAGCAATTAATTCCAGGTATTATATCCCAGTAATTATATTCCAGGTATTATATCCCAGCAATATTCCAGGTATTATATCCCAGCAATATACCAGCAAAATGCCAGCTATTATATTCCAGCTATATCCCAGGAATATTCCAGGTATTATATTCCAGGTATTATATCCCAGCAATATACCAGCAATATGCCAGCTATTATATTCCAGCAATATGCCAGCTATTATATTCCAGCAATTAATTCCAGCTATTATATCCCAGCAATATTCCAGGTATTATATCCCAGCAATATGCCAGCTATTAAATTCCAGCAATTAATTCCAGCTATATCCCAGCAATATTCCAGCTATCATATTCCAGCAATATGCCAGCTATAATATTCCAGCAATTTATTCCAGCTATATCACACCAGAGACACCAAACATGGGTTCACACACTGGGCCCATGTGGGGAATCGAACCCAGGCCTTAGGCATGGCAAGCGAACACTTCTGGGCTACCCATCGCCATTCACAAATTTGACGTTCAATCATTTGGATGTTTTCCTGACAACCCAGATGTGATCTGCTGTGCTTCTGAGGTGCTTGCACTGCACCAAGCTTCCTGAAGGAAACATACTTCCGTTTGTTTCTTTATTAAAACCATGGATCAACATAAAATGTTATATAACAAAGTGTAAGACGGACATTTGTAGATTAAGTAATTTGGTGTAAGCTTTCAAAATCTACCAACTCTAGTAAATTCAAAAAGAATTATTCATTCATAATACTTCCTGAGCCCAAGGCTGACAGTTTAAACACTGTATGTTACCATGGAAGCTCCAGATACAGCAATTGCTAGGTGCTTAACAACCTAACAGAAGAGGGATGAAGTTTCCTAGCATGGCAAACACATAGAATTTTAATGAATGTTTTACTCAAACTGATATTGAAATGCAGAACTTTGGACATGTAAGTGAATATAGAAACACTTTAATACACAGATCATAGATGATCGTAGAATGGGCAGGTAGTAAAAATTAAAATTATCTTCGTCATTTATAGATTTTCTCTACAGATTCCAGTGTCACTAAGATTAAAGTTCTGGGACAGATTTAGGAAAGTTATGTCTCGCTGATGAAAAATCACAAACCAAAATTATCCCTATCTACTTGTGGTCAAACCAAAGTTTAGAGAGTTTATCTCTGGGTGCCAGTTATTGCTTAACGATATTGACAGAGTGCTTGAGATGGCAGGTGGTGTGACAGTCCGTGATAATCGTGATATGCTCCCCACAACAGGAAGCATATCGGGACATACACCCCCTGAGTAGGTACAATCTGCTTACCTCAAGCGACTACGTACAGTTCACATTGCTCAATAGCCATAACAAGAATAACAAAATACATTTACTTTGCATGACCCTTTCCAACTGCGTTCATCAACTTTTGTTGAAAGTAAATTCAGAATTTCAACGAGTCATACCTTAAAACATTATAATTCAGAATCAAAGTCAAAAGAAATCAAATTAAAAACAACGTAATTGAACACTTTGATTTTATAAACATGACTGTCAAAAGTGAAATGTCAAATATTTCATAGCCACAATGAGGTAACTGTACACTCTCCTGGCCCCAAATTGCAAGTACCAGCCAACATGTCATCATCGGATGCTGTGTACAGGGCCTGCAGTGATATCTACGTCAATTTGTGGGGCTGGACTGCATGTTAATCTTTGAAATGACGTTTTACAGGAGGAAAATGGAAACTTTAATACCTAGTGCGCCTCTCCATGAACTTCCCGGGGGAAAGCCGTGATGAGCAGATTACATATTGAAGCTTGCAATTTTTTACCTACAAAGCCAACGGCTCAACAAAGACTTAAGTTTCTTACGTTTTTACCTATTAAAAAAATGACAAGTACCTTTAACACTGTCATTGACAGGGCCACAGTCTCATCATTATCAAGTTAAAAACATAACATTGTCTCAGTGATTTTAAACCAGGAAGGTGAAATTGAGAACATATCATTTCCACTTACAAATTTATATTTTAAAATTTTAAAATTCTAAGGAAATCCAATATTCTTAAAGCCAAGCTTCCTGATGCATCCGAATCTAACATTCTAATAACGATTTATGTTCATCTTGCTAATAGCATGTAAAGCCCTTACTGGTTAGGGTATCAGAAACATCTCCACATATGCTTAAAGAATATATTTGATCACACTCTACATTTGATGCGCTTAATCACATAAGAAAAACCTTCCTCATTTTTTAATCATCTTTGAATCAAGTTGATTTTATCGGAGCCAGATTTCTGTGCCAATTTCGGGGCAGCTCCATTGTGGCTTGATCGCTTCTTTAACATGAAGGGTATCCGCTGTACGCTGTATGTTGTTCAATCAATAGTACCCTGACACAAACTTGATGTTCCCTTCATTTTAATACACAGAATACACCTCCACCACTAAACACAAATCTCCAATGGAAAATTAGGAAAAAGTAAATTCATAAAAGTCATGCATGCACGTCGTTCCCATAACAACCGAGCATACTTGGAGTTTCTTTAAATGAACGTGATACCAGAAATCACGTTTTTGATGAGCAATTGAAACGTATGACGCAATGTTGCAACGCATTCGGCCCCACTGTAGGCCTAAATGGATTTTTGAAATGATGAATGTTACAGTTTAAACAATTTCTTTAATTTGGATAAAGAAATATCAATTTCCCTTGTCAATGCGATGGGGTTTTTGCAATGCGAACCCACTATCTACGTTGATGTGAGTGCAATCAATATGTACCGTCAGCAAGGGTGCGATGACCCGTTAGGCTGGGGGAGTACATGGGAGGGGGAGGGGGAGGAGGGAGGGGACTGCCTTGCTGCCCAGACAAAGATAGGACCATCAATGAAGACAACTCCTCATCAAATAGTGGAAGGATGATCTCGGATCAATTATGGTGGCCCATCTTCAATTGTTCTGCCCCGGGCCCAGCAACAATACAACCTACCGTAGTAACAGTACAGGCTGTTATCACAGTGCATTGCCCTGGCATCACAGATGTCCGCTTCCATTCAAAAAGAAAAGATTCGATACAGAATCATGACATATGGCTTAGCTTAGTAACTGGCAACTTTAAAACTGACCTCTAGGTTACGAAGCACATTACAAAGGAAACTGGTTTTAAATGGTTAAATGTGGCATAAAGGACCTTTGGATCCAGGATGACAAAAGTTTAAGACTTCCTAGTATGTTCAGACAAAGAACCTATACATAGTAAAGTTTTCATTTTAGTTTAAACATACTGTGTACTTCTGGCTCTTGAAAAGCTGACCTCCGACAAAATGTAAAGATAAAAGACTGAACCAGAATTAATGTCATAACAGATCTATAGCTTGTTATAGCCTCTATGCTGATTTTCTCAGGTTTATATATAAAACATTATGTTTCTACATGTAACATATCTATGAAATACAAGAAAATTACTTTTTTAATAGGATACTAGCAAAAGCATAACATTCAATACAAAGAAATTTTTAGATTTTTCAACTTCTTTGAAAAAGGTTAAAACTCACATTTAACAAACAATAAATGACACATTTGAAATATATTCCCTTGAAACCCCATTTCAGCTAACAAATCAACCACTTCTACAATCTAAAATACCAACACAAAAATTCTGTTTGAGTGATTGTAACTTTGTATTAGAAAGACATTATTTTAGGAGTCTAATACCCTCTCCAGCCAAGCCGTAACATGCACCCTGACATGACAAATACAAGTTGTAATGATAGTAGTTTCCAGTATTTCTATGTTGTAGAGATTTATTGACATCTTTGGACCTTAATTTCCACCAATCAATACCAGTGAAGAGCAAGGCCTTAAGCCCTCAAGACAAAGAACATCTGTCAAATTGCTGCGAATGAAAGGGCCGGCACTGGGTCTAATGCAAATAGTCAGCACACAAACAGACAATGATGACAGTCCAACAATAATGCATATTACTAGTCAGATATTAAAACACAAAAATCAACTCTTATCCAAAAAAATGATTTTCATAAAAAATATGCAACTAAAAAATTCAAACCTTTTGTTTATATATTTGAAAAACAAATATGCAATTTGTTCTAAATAGGTTTTATGTTCAAACATTTAAAACCTGCTTATTACAAAATGCACAAAGGCATTTAAAATTTCAACAATTTGCCATCCGAGCGCAGTCAAGTTTAGCAAGCACGTGGCATGTGGCCCCACAAAGCTTTCACTCACCATTAAAACTTAAGTCATCTGTCACAGAACGATTGACGATCACTGACACCAAACATGTCACTTGAAACAAACATCCCTTGAGAAGCCCATGCTGCTAGTATATTACGATGATCGCTTATTGAAACCCACTCACGCACCGCTGACTTGCCCAACTATTGATAAACCTTGCAGGCTTTTATTTATAAGTCCCTCATCGACAGGAAATTCATTGTGCAGTCAGGGAGTACATAAGAAATGGCATATACATTTCAAAAGCGTAAGCTGTGCTCCCAACACCTGTCTTGCTATAGTAACATGTCATTGGATAACTCAACAGTCACAGTGAGGCTTGGACACTCCTTGGATCTATTCCTGCCTACCACAACACTGAGCCACTTACTATGAGCCTATACACTAAACTGCCCATCTCTCTCAACTAGGGCAGGTACCTGACGCAGGAAACAAATCGCTTCATTTCTTTCAAGATAAATTTCTTTCTCGCTAGTAGGATGTTTACTGATACTTAGTTTACATATTAATTAAACGTACAATTTGGTTCCTTTAACAAATGTACACTTTGGTAAACATAACATAAAACATTTCAGTAAACATGTTATCAAACTCTAATGAATATGTATACTCCTTTGATATATCTCAAATATGACCCTTCAATGAACATTCATTGTACATTTTGGAATTGATTCAATATATCAGCATATTAACTCTGCTCCAGCCAAAGTAGACTTGTCTCATTGCAGTATCTTTTGTCACTGTTTGCATACGTTTCTATCATGATGAAGTTGTATGTTTGCTTACACCATAAACTAGGTTTCAGATAAGATGTGTCCGTATTACAACAGTGTAGTCGTTAATGTTATGATACTTTTGTGAACCAAGGTATGATTTGGTCATTGTGTTCACAATACTGGGACATTTCACTTTGCACAGAAGCAATAATTAGTAAACAATTTTTTTTATTTCAACCTTGAATATTGTGAGATTCTTTTCAAATGTCAAACTTAAAGATGCACTGTCAAATTCTCATTTTGACATTACAAAATACAAAATGATGAATACAGTACCTCGATATGTCTGATAGAAATCTATATATGACATTACAGTCTCATATCAGGATAACCTGCTTAATTTCCTACCCTAAACAACTTTAGGAATTGGTACTAGTCCCGTAGTCCCTGCCAAACTGCCCGATAGTTCAGGCATCATAAGGATGGGTAGTTTGCCAGTTTTAAATGTTTTGCTATATGTTATCATCATAAGGACTCGTGGACTACATATGTTAATTTCTACTGCAGCTTAAAAACATGTCAGTAACAGATACAGATAATGTCGTGTAGAATTTCATAATAGTGGTCTTGTGCTTAGTGAGCATTTGATGTGATGCATCAATAATCAATAATGTGCTTGAGTTAGAGTATAATTAGTTATAAAGAATTGATGCACAGTTGAATGTAGAGTATATGGGGGAATCTGATGCTGTATGATTATCAACACTGAATTGGAAAGCTACACAGTGAGAAATACAGGCTATGGTGAACAGCCAGGCCACCGAGTAGTGGTATTGAAAATACTATTGACTACGTAAATTTAGTGACTACAAAGATAAGATACTAAAAACTTCGGATATGATAAATTTAGGAGAAAGCAAATTCATGACATTGATTACAAAGGGATCATCACCGATTTATAATTTTCACCACTATTTTGCCTTATTCCCAATGGAATCTGTTTTGGTGGATAATAAAAACTGGTCACTTACTCTGTCATAAAATACACATGGCACATGAATAGATAAATAGATAAACAGATAGATATAAAATCTTTCCTTTCTTTTCACTTCTCGTATGTATTTTATGATAGAGTAAGTGACCAATATATATATTAAAATCTAAATATCTTTTCATGATTGTATACTTATCCTGCATTACTGCTTTACAACAGTTGATGCATTAAGGACTTATGCAGGATATGTAAAAATATATAAAATACACAAGGAAAATGAACAGAAAGGTTTTATATATATCAATATCAATTCATATTCCTTAACAAAACCTGCTTGTGTCAGGAATACCGACAGCGTTGATTATGGGAATGAGATTGTGTGGAATACCGGAGTCTTGTGTCAAGCCTTCATTCCCCACCCCCCCCCCCCCCCCCTTGCTCATGTGTCACACGGAATGGGTTGAAATAAACTTGTCATCTACACTCCTTGCAATTGTTTCATATAAGGAAAACACACAAAACTACTACCTCCTTCATGCAGTCAATCATCTTAATTGGTGACAGGTTCAGTGATGTTAATTTCGATGTCGGGACAAACAAACAAATAGTTTGCAGTACTTTGCACATACTCAAACTGAACATTTTGGGTAGGAGTCTTATTCTGTCTTACAACTGAATTTTTCAACTTTTGATAATGTTACAAAACCAAAGTAAGATGGAAACCTATTTTTATTGTTCCAAAAGAAATTTCCACTTCAAATATACAGCAATATTTGTGTTAAAACAATGGAAACAATCCAAACAGACATGATTTATATCTTATCTTATAGTTTGAAACAGTAATTCTGCTTTTCTTCAAGACACTGCTTAATAAACGGAAATCACTTCATAGTGTTGAGGGACTAAACAGCAAACTCTCAAGCTCATATTGGTATTCAGTTGTTATTGAGGACCTTAGATCTGAATCTACATAGCTTACTTGATCGATTCAGTGTGAATCCAGATGTTTGAATCTGTCTTGGTGCAGAGCCTGATAAAGCTGTACTAGTCCTACAATGTTATAGGACCTAAGATTTCTCCCTCCTATATGTCAAACCTATTTTCCCTTTGGTGTAAAAACACATGTGCATTTAAGACCTTAGGATCTTATACACTTCTCTCAACTCAGGGTTTAAGTAGAGTCAAATCTCTTTCAAACACACTACACCATAAAAACTGCTATCCACTTTCATGTTTTTTCTATTGTTGAAAAACAATCAGAAACTTCACTCAAGATATTCATCAGCATAAACGAAAATTGAACCCTTGGATCAGAGATCAGTGATTATTGACTTTGAAATATTTAACAAATATTCCCATACAAGTAGGTGAACTGTTTCATGAATATCATTATTATTGCCTAATTCCAAATGCACTGTCACAAAGCCATAGATTTTGCTTAACCCAAGACCAGCGTTTCAAATCAGTCAATCACATTTTCTTTTTTAAGTATTGTATCTTGCACTGAGCGAAACCGGGTTAACATGGACTCAAAAGAGACATGAAGTGTATGTGGACATTGAAATATATCCCAGTATTACAGGATATACTCACAGCAAACCTACAAGCAAACAAATTTATTGTACAGGGTGTTTTCTTTGTATTATCAGAAGGTGATAATGACCAAGGTTAAACTCCATCACAATACAGTGAAAAAAACACCAATTTCAACTATTTCAACTGTGACAAACTCAAGACATATGAAACAGTTTGAAGAATCATTTTCTTAAGATCGCCTTCCAAAACTCCATTAAATTCTAAGATTACTGAGCCTCCAATAGACGAACCATATTACTTCTTAAGGCAATTTTATGATGGACGTTAAAGTACACTTGCACTTTTTAATTCAAATTAAGTCAAATGCTATTACACAATTTCTATTCTTACTTTTACAATCACCCCTAAAATATGCCTCCATGTCATGCCCTAAAGATAACTCTGCCATCCAAACATTAAGAAAATCTAGATTCCATACTTTAGCAATAACCATCAAGGCTAGCTAATTCATTTCCAATACCACTTATTCACATGCATCATCATCATCATCATCATCATCATCATCATCATAAGATATCAAAATTATCACAACACCTAAATTATTATAATTTTTTTCTCAGACAAAATAGACATGTAACCATCTGTCAAAATATAACCACCTAGATTGATAACAAAATTCATCTGCAGAAAAAAGTATGAAACTAAGACGACATACACATATTTCCTTGCTATTTAGGCCAACGTTTCCGGGGCGGAGCAAGGGACTATAGGTAGGCATGAGCAGGATGACCTACAAACAACCTATACCAACGATAATCTTATTTTGATAACTAGACACTCACGGGTGTAAATCATGCTATCTCAAGTCAAACTTCCTGTTGTGAATATACCCATGTATTTTATGTCTTATAGGTTCAAGGGCGTTAATCACACTAAACTCATACTTGCAAAGTTTTCCTCGTCTTTACCTTACATTACATCTGCTTCGAACAGTAAACCTTTGAACTATATAAATTACTGTGTGCATAGGATTAAAAGGGGGCATGAGGTAGGGGATATATGACGGTGTATAAGCATGACAGGAAGTTGCCCAATACTTCACTATCTACCTGGCTAAGATACTTAACCTACATCGTATGTACACTCATATCACATTTACCTCGTTTAGTTGGAGTCTGATACTGACTCATCTGTCATCTATGGATATTTGTCATCAATTCCATCACCCTACCACACAAGATACTATTAACGCTATTATGTACATATGTGCTTTAAAGCGCATCAACTTTTATCTCAAAATAAAAACGGTAGAATAATACTATTAAGACCCCAAACAGAATTTGTTGAAGTTCGTCAAATATTTTTCTAACCGATAAAACAAGTGACACACAGATTGACTGAAGCACTTCTGCGAATATCTTGATACTTTCAATTTAACACTACGAAGTATATATCTGTTAGAGCAGACAAGTTTGAGATACATCTGCTCCAGCCATGATGAACTAACAGATACTGTTTCAACGAGACAACAAACCCAGTGGAGTCATATTTTCATTTCAGCCCAGTTTGTTTTATCTCCAAATTTTTTTGACAAATATTTCCAGAGGTCATTGTTGCGAGGGGCAATCGATGGTCGAAATGTTCGCATTTCCTCGTGTATACAGACACAGCTGTACCCCTGTTTAAGATTTGCCAGCAAACCAACGCGCCATCATTTCTGTCGACTTTAAGATCAAGAAAAACTCCCAACCATCTTTAAAATTCTATAGTCAATCTATGTGCCACACTTATTGACTGTGTGCAAGTAGATGCTATGACTCACTCAAAATAAAAGCTTTTCCTCAGCCCATTGTCTCCCTGATTGAGACAGTCTTCACTGGCTGTTTCTTAACCTCCATCATGGCTGCCAATTTTGATTGAAGATTGAGTTTTTTCCTTATCTATCTACAAACACGACAAATGTTTGCAAAGCAACTTTTTAAAAGTTTAAATTGACAAACATTGTCTTGTATTGAGTTTGTAAAGAAAGTTTTTTGGCAACAGACCACATGATGTATAAAGTGATACTGAATTTACTGAAATACATAAATATGACCGAATTATTCCATATTTGAAACTTCAATGAGCTATCACTCTCTCTATCATAAAAGTGCTAGTTTAGATTGGATGTTTTCTTTGGTCACAGCCAGTGCACATACAACTGGGTTTTTTAGACTTAAAAAGTCTGAAATACGCCGAACCCATGTTCCAAAACATTTCAATGTCATAAACTTGCAATTAAAACGTATGACAACAAGAAATAACTATACATTAATGTGGGGGTAGTTGTACGCATAATTTACTTATACCTAAATATCAAGAGTGAGTACTGTGCCATGTTGGTGGGTTTAATAACTTTAACCAAATGTGCAGGAAAGCGATAATGAAAAGAGAGTCACAACATACAGAAGCAGAGGCCGTATCCATTTGACAAACAACATTTCCAATAACATTATCGCAATCTGATCAAGGCTAATGGTATAAGTTTGTAGATTTTGAAACAAGGTTCCCTCTAAATGTCATGACCCCTCAACAATTCACATATGACAAGGAAATAATTTGTGTCTTATCTTTCAAAGTGGGTCTTTGTCCACATTTCACAGTAAGATTTGACTAAGTCACGTGCGCTCAGTCTAAGATTCTTTGCATGCAGACAGTATCATATATCATTGTGGCTAGACTTGACAAAATTATTTATTTATTGCTTACCATCAACTTTCCTTATGAATTAATCAGTAACAAAGATATCTACCTTTGTATAATGTATATACGTATAGTTTATAACACCTGGCGTGGTACGGCAGTTAACACATGGTCAAGATAACAGGGAAGAAGTGTTTAAATCACCACCTCCACTGATTCCCTAGTGTAACCTGGACTGTTTTTTATGGCCTTACTATCTTAGAAAAACAGTTTTCTTGATGCCATACATTCTCAAAAAATATTTTCTTTATCAAACATTTAAATACATATTGACCAGAATGGGTTTAAAGGTACCGCCATTTAAATTCCATGTATTCCCTATTCTTCTAAATCTTTGTATTTAATTATTACATATGAACTACTTTCCTGCAAACTAAATACATTAACTAAATAATAGTCTTGCTTGACTTGGTATGAGGATCCATACATACAATGCATAATATAGAAGTTATCAATTTACTTTTGAATACTTTGTCATCTATCAACTTCAAATAATGCCTATCAAACAATAGAGAATACATAATGTATTTTCTTCGTAATTTATCTTTGGCTTATCACATAAAAAATACACACATACTGTTGTTTCAACACATAACTACATAATACTCTACACATCAACCAAGAAACTACATACTTCATTTCAGCAATATGGTTCTCGTTCTTTTCTCAAACCTTGACTGATTTCTCAGTAAGCTTGGCACCAAGAACACACAACTGGACTCTACCTGGTCCAGGTATGTGTGGAATACCTGTCTCATTACTAAGGAAATATTTGTTGTGGGAAGTTGTATAGACAAAGTCCATGTGAAATGACTTATAGATTTTTAAGAGCAAATATGACTGGCGACAATGTCGTTTATAACTTGAAAACGTAGGTGGTCTCCAATAGGTACAATGTAAGACAAAGCCACATTGTTTTCCCACACGAAACTTGTAGTTTTTCCCCCAACTCCCACTGTTAACATGTATACGGTATGTAAAACTCTCCGTTCATATTGTATGAAACCCAACCATCCTATCACTGCTTTGTTGGAACAGTGTGTCTTACCTACGTGGAACGCAACCGTTCACGTTTTGACAATGTCATATTGTTTACCAAGAATGTAAGAATCTAACGATTGCTTGTTTTCTAGATGCCCGCCAATCACCGACACACACACCTGATGGTCTATACTAGAAGTAAAGAGTGTATTATTTTTTCACAGCTTGCACCCGATGTTCTTTGACGATGTCAACAAGCAAACCTGCCATGAAGAGTGGGCTGAAACTCAGGTGTATTCCGTATTGAACTGCACAGCAGTGTCTATATCCAGGCCTTGGCAATGTCAACAGGATATATTTGTTTGCTTCTCTCGAAAGGGAAATGCTAGACACACATAAGCTTGAGACAAAGTACACGAGCCGGACTTTAACATAACTGCACATCTACGACTTACTACACAAAATACCGCCTGTATCCTTTCATAACATGACTCATGAACGAATTATTGTTTCCATTCTAAAAAATTCCCTACAAAATTGGACCGTTTGACTTTAGCATGTTTCAAATAGTGAAAGAAACCCTTGATTAAAATTGACAGCTCCTACAACTTTTCGCCATTGTTACTGTTCTATTTTTAATTCAGGTCCCATGTTTAGATTCTAGAGTTTTCAAATAGACTGGTTTCTTTCTTTCCCTCAAAATCTTTTTTTCAAACACAAAAGTCAATATTGTAAATATACATGAAATGGGGCAGATGTTGTGATATGATGTTTGATGTAGATGGACAATATTGACATAATATTAAAAAGTGAAATAATTAAGTAACAAATGACAACATTACATCAATGATCATCAGTTTGCTATGCAAGCAATTTGCAACGTTGTTTTACAATCAGAAACCTTTTTTGACAAATTTTGTTAACAATGTTGCACAATATTAACCAGGCAGGTCATATGTTTTGATACTGCATTGATAGACATTTTCTATCAATTAACAACAAATAAAAAATGTTAGCACTAGAAAATACACCTTTTCAAAGTCAATTACACAATAATGCAAGTCATGCTTCAAAAGAAGTTGATGAATGTAATTAACAGAATTAAAAATATTTAAATACTTGTTTCAACATGAATTGGATCACTATGCAAAATTAAAACCCATCAAAAGTATTTTCCTTACTGTGAACAAAAGGCATCGTCAATAATGTAAGCATTTCACATGAGACTCACTCTACCATGGCAAGCAGCAATATCAGCTATTTCCAGCATAAAAAAAATATTGCTAACTGACAATGACTTCCAACTATCACAAAGAAAAAGTAATTATTTTCCTCAGTCACTAGATAATTTTCCATGTGGCAGTAAATAAGAAATTGGCCATTGATGACTCACTCAATTGGACCTAAGCAGCCTCAGAGAACTGTTAAAATAAATTACAAGACAAATTCTTCATATACAATTTTCTCAAAATTGTGCTGCACGTCAACAGAAAATCAAATTGTGCACATACATACAATTGCTGTCCGTCCCCATCTTTCCACGAGAATCTTGAGAAATTTAATTTCCTTGGCAATCACCAACACTTGACGGACAAAAGGACAATGGAGAAGGCTTCTGACAGTGACACAAAGGCCGTAAGTACTCCTGTACGATTACAACTTAGTCATCGCACAGCTCCCCAGCCAAACTCAATCAATTAAAATAATGGAAATGATGAGTCAAAAATGTCACATAGATTGCAAATGCTGGAAGTGATAACGTCGTGTTTATGACATATGTAGCGTATCAAAGCGTGGGTACCCTGCTAACACAAAGAGTAGTAGAAACGCACACGCTCAATAATCAATGACCCAGAGTCCATTCATCCTTATCTTACAGTGTTACTCCGTATATCTCCGCCTCTATTAGCTAAAAATAGACCACAAAAGAAAAAACCTTTCTCTAGTACTCACATTTGTGGAAGACTGTGAACTTGGCAATGAAGAGAATGACTTGCCTGTAGTGGCAGTCAAAGCGTGTGTGATGCAGTTCCTATCTAAGTTATAGTGATCAATATCTGGCGTTAGGTCACCCCGGTATACTATACGTATTACACTCAACTGACAAGGCCCGCGGTTTGAATAGGGTTCGCGGGAATCTTAAAAATTGATCAATTCACAGATTAAACTTTAAGTCAAGAGTTGAATTATGAAAGGAAATGAAGATGAAATAATTCCAGATGCTTGAGTGTGGAAGAATGTGCAGAAATTTGCTGCAAAGCCAGGTGTCATTACGATGGCCCGACACTCTCACAGAGCACATGTGAGATCGAAAACAATGGAACCAAGACTAGCCGCGTGCGCTAACCACAACTGAAGCAAACACAAATGGGTGACGGTCACCAGACAACTTTGAGAGAGAAATTTCCTAATCTGGCATAGACACAACGTTTGTGTTACTGAGCAGAGGTGACAATTAATATTACTTACCCGAAAGGATTTTCAAAACTTTGACAGCTGCTTTCGTCTCTTTGGGCTACAGCGCCATTTTAATTACCCAGCATACATACGCAGCAGTAAGTGCGCATGCGTACAATTTGTTTACAAATGGCGGCCTACTTGGTGTGCTTGACGGCCGGGGGTGGTGTCCCACTATTTTCACGTACGAAAGGAGATCTAAAGCCTGTAAGACTTCATGCTTGTCTAGTTACACATATTTATTATCATGGAAGCTTTTTATGTCAGCTTGTACGCTGCTAGCTTGTTTGACGCTCAGTTACGGATGTAAACATTACCACGTGTTTTGACCCTAGATAACGCGGAAGCAGGTGCCCCAAGACTTGACAGGCAGCATGTCATCTCAAACGTTTCGCGGATAAATTTTGCTTACTCGCTTTTGTCTCGGTTTTGTTTTCTTCGCTTTGTTTGTCCTGCAATTCTGTGTGAGAGCTTATTTATACAGCTGGCGTTTTGTGTTATAAATAATTGTTTTGATTAACATGGATATTCATCAATTAATGGGCATTTCTGCTTATTTTATTGGGTTGTTTTTATTTATCAATTCAAGGTTTAAATAGACACCATTTTGTGTAACATTCGTGATGCATTTTTAATCACAGGTCTACACTATTGAAGACAAACTTAAAATAAATCCTCTTATCTACAAAAAATATGTACAAGTTATTGTAACAAATCAATGAAGAAGATTTACATCAGCTGTGGTATACATGGCACACAACTGTTACAACATATATGTATATAATGGATGTGATAAATGTGTTACCAGTGCTTTTGAATGAGCTGGGGCCCAACACCTGAGGTATTTGAGAATGCCATAAAATCCCTCTGTAAGGGTAGATTGCACCCAGAGATAACACTGGGTATGACTATGAGAGCTCATCAGGGTAACAGCACTGGCCATACTGTTATGACAGTGAGTGGGCTCTCTCAACCATGACTAATCAAGTGCTTTGATAGTATATTGGGAGCAATTACTTATTGGAGATAATCCTGCTTAATTAATCACCTGCATTAATTGACCACTTACAGAGTTGTTAATTCCCTACTGTGTAATTTTATCTTAAATCTATCAACACCATGCTGTTGGAGATTTAATTTGGTGATGGGACAGTTTAATTATCTTGATTGTAGTTTGTTCACAGTTTTCTTCTGTTCAGTTTACACTGATTAAGTTGAAATTGCGCATACAAGTTAAGAATATAAGTATCTTGAATTGCTTTTGTAATTTCTTTGTGCATTTAGATAACACTCTTGTACAAGACATTTAAGTTAGCTGCTCTTATTGAAATGTTGAATTAATTGAAGATGTACAATGTTCAAATCAATTAAACTAATTAGCATTTAATTGTGTGTATTGTATTAGGTGTTTTGTCAAACTGTTTAATCAAGTAAAACTGTGTGTCAAAGGCTATTAACACATGTTTATTGGCAAGGATTAATTTGCTGTCGTAAAGCAATAAATTGTGTTTCTGGGTGAAACAACTCGATGTCATTTTTTTGTATGTATGGTGCAAATGATGTCACAAACAATTCAAATATTGTGAAATTTCTTTTGATTTAAAGATTAGGAAGCGGTTTACAATATTTGGAAAATGTGAAGTTTGTAAAACAAATTAATCATGGCACATTAGAATATGATTTTCCATTTCCTACACTTACATTCTTTGAATTAGTTTCTTATACTTAATTAAAACTTAGTCTTTACATTAAAGCTTTTGTCTACTTCAGCGAAGTGTATCCCTTCCACCAAAATAACTTACATCTCAGCTTCTGGCAAATGAAAAATGTTAGAATAACTCAAACTGTATTGAATCAGTGTTTCCTATTGGGGATATGAAATCTGTGGATTAGCTTCATTAGTATTGTTTGTATACAATTTTGGTTGCAAATAAATCTTTCCAGCTGAATAAGTGAAGTATTGCTGAAACCAAATTAGCTCACCAAGTCGGCATTCAGGCATAATGCGATTTAATGAACCTGATTCTTGCTTCCAGCAATGGCAAATGTGTATGTCCTCTGGCCAAGTGTTTAATGACTTAAACCAGTAGTCTGTCTGCCCTAGAGTCTGTGGGGTGTGTCTGTCTGTCAGTCTGTAGTGTGTCTGTCTGCCCTAGAGTCTGTGGGGTGTGTCTGTCTGCCCTAGAGTCTGGGGGGTGTCTGTCTGTGAGTCTGTAGTGTGTCTGTCTGCCCTAGAGTCTGTTGGGTGTGTCTGTCTGTCAGTCTGTAGTGTGTCTGTCTGCCCTAGAGTCTGTGGGGTATGCCTGTCTGTCAGTCTGTAGTGTGTCTGTCAGTCCTAGAGTCTGTGGGTATGTCTGTCTGTCAGTCTGTAGTGTGTCTGTCTGCCCTAGAGTCTGTGGGGTGTGTCTGTCTGTCAGTCTGTAGTGTGTCTGTCTGCCCTAGAGTCTGGGGGGTGTCTGTCTGTCAGTCTGTAGTGTGTCTGTCAGTCCTAGAGTCTGTGGGGTATGTCTGTGTGTCAGGCTGGAGTGTGCCTGTCTGTCAGTCTGTAGGGTGTCTGTCTGCCCTAGAGTCTGTGGGGTGTGTCTGTCTGTCAGTCTGTAGTGTGTGTGTCTGCCCTAGAGTCTGTATGGTGTGTCTGTGAGTCTGTTGTGCCTGTCTGTAGTGTGTCTGTCAGTCCTAGAGTCTATGGGGTGTCTGTCAGTCTGTTGTGCCTGTCTGTCAGGCTGGAGTGTGCCTGTCTGTCATTCTGTAGTGTGTCTGTCAGTCCTAGAGTCTGTAGTGCCTGTCTGTCAGTCTGTAGGGTGTCTGTATTTCCCAAGTCTGTCAGTCTGAAGGGTGTGTCTGTCAGGACTTTCACAAAATGTCAAAAGTTAAGTTAATATGTTGTTATTGTCCAGCTGAGTCCTACATCTATTTTCTTGCTTACCAGGCATACATGTCCCAGAACAAGAAAATACAAAAACGACAAAGTTTATGAACCCTACTCAGTAAGCAAGATCATGAAAAACAATTTAAGTCTTTTTTGTGAAGAAAAGGAACCATTGTATTATAAACATTACATCAAATATTTCTTTGAAATGACCAATCTTGATAAAATGGGGAATAAGTCTGCTGTATTTTGGCCTAGAAAGCAAGTTCGACAAGCAATGTGATTGTTCAGGCCAAATAAGGCTTTCAAACGTCCTGACCAGATTTTGATGATGTGATTCTTAACATGAAAATCTCTCAGTGTCCGTGTGTGACAGGTTGTGTAGTGTTAATGATACTGACTACTTGGAGGTGAGTACACGTGGTCTTCGTTGTCACAGAACCGAGCCAATCAAGCAGGTAGAGCACCAACACGTGTTTTATGCCAACCCACTCTTTTGGCATCATTTTGTACATGTTTTACTCTTTTGCATCGGCTATGATTAGCAGAGTTTGTCAGCCCAACGGAGAATTGCTAGACACGGCCTTAAGGCTAGTGGTTAAAGGCTTAGTCTGGTACAGTTGAACAACAGCCTGGAGGATGGAGATGGCAGCATCAGTGTCTGCAATAATACTGCTGTATTGCACTATTGTCACCACACAATGTCACAATAATGTCTAGCCATTGGTTGTGTAAGAGAGTTGGCTTGAATGCTGCTTTGAACATTATTTCTGTCCTATCACAGGGTATTTTAAGGAAATATGCAAGGGATGCAAGTTAACCCCTGTATTGTACAGGGATCCAAGTTAACCCCTGTATTGTACAGGAATGCAAGTTAACCCCTGTATTGTACAGGAATGCAAGTTAACCCCTGTATTGTACAGGGATGCAAGTTAACCCCTGAATTGTACTGGGATGCAAGTTAACTCCTGTATTGTACAGGGATGCAAGTTAACCCCTGTATTGTACAGGGATGCAAGTTAACCCCTGTGTTGTACAGGGATGCAAGTTAACCCCTCTATTGTACAGGGATGCAAGTTAACCCCTGTATTGTACAGGAATGCAAGTTAACTCCAGTATTATACAGGGATGCAAGTTAACCCCTGTATTGTACAGGGATGCAAGTTAACCCCTGTATTGTACAGGGATTCAAGTTAACCCCTGTATTGTTCAGGGATCCAAGTTAACCCCCTGTATTGTACAGGGATGCAAGTCAACCCCTGTATTGTTTCAGGGATCCAAGTTAACCCCTGTGTTGTACGGGGATGCAAGTTAGCCCCTGTATTGTACAGGGATTCAAGTTAACCCCAGTATTGTACAGGGATCCAAGTTAACCCCTGTATTGTACAGGGATGCAAGTTAACCCCTGTATTGTACAGGGATCCAAGTTAACCCCTGTATTGTACAGGGATCCAAGTTAACCCCCTGAATTGTACAGGGATGCAAGTTAACCCCTGTGTTGTACGGGGATGCAAGTTAGCCCCTGTATTGATTCAGGGATCCAAGTTAACCCCTGTGTTGTACGGGGATGCAAGTTAACCCCTGTATTGATTCAGGGATCCAAGTTAACCTCAGTGTTGTACTGGGATGCAAGTTAGCCCATGTATTTTACAGGGATTCAAGTTAACCCCTGTATTGATTCAGGGATCCAAGTTAACCCCTGTATTGTACTGGGATGCAAGTTAGCCCCTCTAACTCAGGCTGACTCAGGCTAGTGTTGCTAGTGCCAGGCCACATCACTGATTGAAATAACAGGATGAACATATAGTGATGTCTGAAGCAATAGTAGTTTGTTATCAAATCATATTCATTTGAAACACACTCACTTACACATACTATTGTTACAGTTGTAACTAGCCCAGGACATGTATACCAGGACTATCTTATTATGGTTTGAACTCATTATGAACCGTGAAGATCCAGGTTAGAATCGGTCTTCAGCTTCCCTGGTTTGTCCTGGTAATGTTTCTAGGTTTGTCAGCACCATACCCGTGCAGGTAGATTTCAGCAAAGTAGTAAATTTTCTAAAGATCTGTCACTTTAGACTTTCCACCACGTCAAGCTGACACCGTGATATAACTGAAATACTGTTCAACGCGACATTATAACGCGACTCCCTCACTAGCTTGTGTTTTGACAGCTTCACAGTACAACTATTGCCAATACCTGCTCAGTTTCATGCTGATTGCCATGGAGAAACACTGGTCGGGATAAAAGGACAACTTAGAGGTACTAAATACCTGTTTGATATTCCGTTCCTGAGAAATGTTGCCATTAAGACTTATTTTGAACATAAGAA